GGAGGCCTCAGAAGCATAGCAATCATCATCTGTTCATCAACTTGGAGCTTCAAGGCACGCTGACAACTGGCTTACCCTCAGAAACTGCATGATAGAAGTAACAGCCATGCCCAGTACCTCACAAGCGAATGAACATCAGATCATATCATTGAGCAATGGATTTGGACTTTTCATCATAGGCTCAAGAGGGGAAAATAGCAAGCGGAAAACGCTGAGAACATCATATCATAACCAATCTCCCTCTACAATCACAAGGTTCACCGCGGTAGGGGAGCTGGAGCACGTCACCCCAAGAGGCTGGTTTTCATAGGCATAAATAAGAAGGAAAAGGATCAGAGGACAGTTTGGCAAACACTAAGGGCTGCAAATCAGTCATTTCAATATGTAGAGGAAAAGGTGAACTGTAATGACACAGCAGAATTGAATGTACAAATATTGGAGCGCCCAAATAGAGCACCGAGCTGAGCTACTCGACAGGAATGTAACACCGTCAACATTGCAAATTTTTCGGAAAAGAAGCATGAGCAAGAGGCATACCAGTTGAAGACATGAGCACACTGAGGTACTATGACACTATTAATATCATCAGTGTGTTTCTGATCGTAGCATTTTCATAAGCAACGAAGTAACACCGTGGGTACCTTCATAATCCGATATTAGCCAACCATCAGATCAATAACTGTCTTAGCTTTAGCCTCATCATATACCTGAGTACATAAACCATAAGAGGAAGAATGTGGTAATAGGAAGACGAACAAATGCTACATAACAAACATCAATATCTCTAAGCTCGTCGTTAGCTCTTTACTAACAGCCTTAACTGCATCTGTCTATGCAGTGAAAAACCACGCAAATGTACGGTTAGGATTCCAGAAGGAAACCGGTAACTAATAAGCGAAGGTATGTAGTGTATGGGAAGAGTACTTGCATCCTCTTTGTGTAGAGAAACAACAGATTCTGAATTTTGTTTAGCAGCTAAACAGAACATGTTTTTTTGCGGCGAAGAAAAATCGCCTTCTATAGATCATGTGGCGAAAACAAAATTACACTGCAGTAATACCAATGGGCCCGACAGGGAACCGGAAGGAAAAGTAAACTTTCATGTAACGGAGAACTAACCGGCAAGTTTTGAACAAAGTTGGAACTATGGCTATGTTAGCATTGACACAATACCAACATTCAGTAATTTTCAGCAGCAAAAAATCTAGGGACGACAAAATTGGCATGACATAACCTTAGGAATTATTTTAGGCTGCAAAATAGACACCAAATAAACCATGTTCGGCCAAAATGAGAGACACTTTGCAAATAAGTATAAGCACGTATGAAATCAATCAATAAACCATGTTGGGCCAAAATAGGACATCAGAAATAGCGGCATTTAGGGACGACCTGCAGGCAGCGCGTCATCTTGTTCATCCGTAGACATTTTCTTTTTCTGGAAAAGGCCTGCTGTCCTGCTCGAGTTCATTGCTGCATTTGTGAAGTTCCTGGGCGTGGCTGCGCCCACCACTAGAGGCTGGCCGCCCGCGGGGGTGTGGTCGTTGCAACGCGACATGGGGAGAGGGAGAGGGAGGCTGAGGTAGAGGGAGAGAGAGAGAGGAAGAGATGAAGACTGGCACCTAGCGTTTCCTCGTAGTAGACGCGGCAGCGGTCGTCAGGAGAGAGAAAGGGAGACCAAGCGAGGGTGGGGGAGGGAACGGCGGAGGCACCGGCGCGCCGCCTCGGGCCTGCGGCACGCACGCGGGGAGCCGGCCGCGCCGCCCGCTGCCGCATCAGGGGAGGGGAGAGGGAGAGAGAGAGAGAGAGGAAGGGGAGGGAGAAACGGAGATGAGAGGCATGAGAGGGAGGGAGGGAGGAGGAGGAGCACGGCCGCTGCCACATGGCCACTGGCCAGTGGCTGCCGCCGCCACGCCGCGCCAGTCTGAGAGAGAGAGAGAGAGAGAGAGAGAGAGAGAGAGAGAGAGAGAGAGAGAGAGAGAGAGGAGGGGTGAGAAGAAGAATCAGGAAGGAGAAGCGGAAGCTCCTGTATATATTTGATTCTCTGAATTCTAACGAGATGCGGAAGAAGCAGGGGAGAAGCGAGAAAAGCTAACCAGAAGCAGGAGAAGTGACTATAGGCGGGAATCCGCTTCAAGCGATCTTGGCCATCGATTAGAAGATCGGACGGAGGACAGAAATGACTTTCTAGGGGAGAATTTATCACGTCAAATTAAAATTGCGCCTCACGATCAAGCTCTAGCCGTACTCAATGGAGTACCCCCTGCTAATGTGTTGACCTCGTCTATCATCATTCCGGTCTTGCGTAGCAAAAACCGAGACGCCAGCCGAATTGGAGCGCTATGTTCGCTTATTTTATAACTCATATTTTTTCAACGAACGAACAATATTTTTCTCTAATCTATAAATCAACCAAGCTAACAGGGCTGAGACCGACAGGAGTTCGTGGCGTGATGGCTCCACTGGTGCTGGTGTGTATACGTACATGTGTAGTGCCCGGTCGATTCACCGCATCGCAACGACCCGGCTGGACTCGATCGGCAATTAAAGCGACGGTCCCTCCATTTGTCAAAAACATTAGAATTAGATATAGGCTTCTAGCCATATAGGGCGCTGGGCAGGGTTTTGCTTTCGCCGAAAATGCAAACGCAACAAAGAGCTAGCGAGGGGAACTGGCCACCCTGGGCATGCAGGAACATATTGCAGTAGTGTGTCCACATGCATGGACTCCTTGATTCAATGATTCTGTATTCGTTGGTGGAATGTGCAGGGATTTGGATTTTCCTAGTAAAGGCATGCAGCCAATTGAGCTTGATCTTGGCCATTCCTTTGGGTTTGACATTCTTCATCATGCATTTGGTTTATTGTCATTGTATATTAACTGACAACTTTATGGTGAATAATTGGATCAATATGTAGCACTTGATGCTTTGAACAAACACCACAATCTTTCAAGGCTAACAATATTATTGATTATATTTATGCGCACAAGCTGAAGTTCCCTTTCGCACAAAAAAAACATTTCCCAGTTTCCCATCGAGGGGACGAATTGAGATATATGAACTCAGACGTCTTGTAGGAGAAGACGTACGTATACTGTTGGCATTATGATTTATGGGTGCTACAACTTCTCTTCTTGACATAAACAAGCTGAAGCGTGCCTGGCGTGCGTTTTGCCAAACAATTAATTAACGAACATGATTCTGCCAAAGCTTGTTTTTCTTTCCAAACAACAACAAAAAGAGGCATTCTGCAAATAGGAACGTTCTGAATTAAACAACGCCACTGGCCCACTGGTGGAGCATCGTGAGTTGCCTTGCGGGGTTGCAGAATAATGAGCGAGGAGAGCAAAGAATTACACCACCGTGTGGAAGATGGAACTTGATGAGCAAACATTCGTTACTACGCTTTGGGGGTTGAACTCGGGGCATCTTGGCATGCTTTAGCTTACTTCCAGGATGATTAACTTACGCTCATTCGCTCAACTAGTTAATCATAATCATTTCGGGTTAACTTTTAACAAAGCCATGCCAGTATGCCACTAGTAGCTTTTACGCTGGGCCACCACCGGCGGAACCGCCGCCGCGCCACCAATGGACGAATTCTTCGGAGCGACGACCGACGAGGCACGGCAGGGGAGAAGGGATTGACTTACCACGCAGCTGAGTTGCTGATGACACACCTTAATTCAGTCCGCTCTATACACGAGTCAGGAGTCAAGAGGTATAGTCTTCGATCGACCCACGTCGATCTCGTCCGTCCGATCAAGAGTACCACTACTAGTAGTAGACACCCGGTCGGCTAGGTTCAATGAATACACTCTTGACATGCACGATCTGGTTATTTATTATTTCTCCATCCCTATATGCGCCCACGATCTACCCGTTGGCAGCATAGTCGAATATCCGCATCTCACCGCAAAAACAAATCTGTAGCATGGCATCCGTACAAAGTCCAAAGTCGTCTAAACCCATAGACCATCTGTACTATAGCTAGACTGTTACTGTTACCGACCCAGTAGAGTTTTGTTTCAACCTTTGTTGTAAAAGTTCATATAGATTGATAATACAATTTTTTATGTTGTACCATCGTTACAAATATACTTTTAGTAACAAAGGATTTTCATATTTCAAATTTAGAAATAAATAAATAAACTTCATATGTGCCACGTCGTGAAAACAATACACAGCTACGGTTGAATAATTAAGTACTTTTTGTCCAGTCCGTAAACAGAATTTCTATATTTTTAGGGTAGAGATAGTATCTCTCTCTCTATATTCTTAGTTAAACACACACCCGTACGGCTATACCATAGTACCATATTACTAACATATAATATAATATAATATAATATTATCATTGTGAGGTATACTTGTACTACGCTCCCACGCGTACACCATCTGTAGCAAAGTAAGTGCATTTTTTTTATATGTATCTAAACAAACCAAAAAAAATGCATACATCTATCCGGATGCCAGAAATGTTTTTATCTTGAACGAAGGCGGGGATACTAGGATACTATACCATCCATGCATTCCCTAGAATACATATCTACGTTTTCAGTTTTTCACATCACACAGCTGGTGCGTGGAGGCGCATACAGCACCCAGCTTTCTCCCCCTGGTAGTGGTGGCCGTTGTCCCACCAGGCCACCAGTCTCGAGACGCAAAACCTGCGAGCGCCTAGCGGTTTCACTTTCTTCCGTCCAAACCCGGTGGCGGCTAACCTCCTGCTAATAATGACCCATGAGGCCATGATGACGACGATCTCACCACAGTCCACACCACCTGACGACGATCTCACCTGGCCTGGGGCTGCCTGGGGCTACTCGGCAAAGGCCCCAGCCGCTATATATACCCCCCCTCTCTCTTCCACCAGTCGCCATTATTCCACCCAAGATCTCAGAAGCAAGCCGATAGCTAGAGGTTTCTTCATTGTGCTGCTAGACATACAAGAAGAAGAAGAAGAAGAAGAAGAAGAAGAATACGAAGGGAGAGAAGATGAGGCCGGAGAGAGGTGGGGGTATTTCGGTGAAGCTAATGGGCGGCGGCGGCGGCGGCGGCGGACCACCGAGCCTATGGAAGACGCCGACCCCGTACGTCTTTCTGGGCCTCGCCTTCATGATGGGCGTCATCGCGGTGGCGCTGCTCGTGCTCATCTGCACGCGCAAGAAGGCGTCAGCATCGTCGTCCGACGAGAAGGCAGCGGCGGCGGCCCGAGCGCTCGTGCCGCTGGACCGGGAGCCCAAGGTCGTCGTCTTCATGCCCGGCGACCACGCGCCGTCCTTCCTCGCCAGCGTCAAGCCGCTCGGCGGTGACGGCACGGCGGCAGTAGTGTAGGCTAGCCCGCGCGCGCGCGTGGCGAACCGAGCGCGGCGTCGAGCCGGCGACGCGGGGGCAATTTTGTCGATAGTATTTTCTTTTTCTCTCGTTTCCATGGGAGGCGGCGGCTTTTGATATGAAATCAGTGAAACAAAGTTTGGTTTTGGTTGCGCAAAAGCTTCCATAGTTTCCATCTTCAACAAACGCGTACGGCGTTTTTTTCTGGTTTGGCTGCGCGTGTTCAGTTGGATCCAATCGATTTGGCTTCCAATTCCGTACGATCTTTTGTGCTGCATATCGACCATTCTTTGTTCGTCCATTGACGGTATGGGATGACACGGCCCACACGCCGTCACAGCGACGAGGAGCCTCGGCGGCAGCCGGTAGGTGTTTCCTCCGATCCGAGTCAGACTGACGACCGGGCCCTCCTGTAGTGATTCATCTGATAAATCTAGCAGTTCATTAGCGCAAGGAAATCGATCGAAAATTTCTCCAAAAGGGCGCCCGGCCTGACTGAGCGGCACAAACATGGCGTCATGAACCGAGGCCGCCATCGCCGTATCTCAAAAGACCAAGCTTTTAGTTAATAAACCCATGACACAATTGAACAAGCTTGAGGATCTAAATAATTGATTTGTAAGTTTAGAAATGGGATAAAACAATAAAACAAGTTGATGACCTAAACGAGCGATTTGTGATTTTAAATATTGAGATGACAATAACCGAACAAGTTTCAGGGTCGCCTGTGCACTTTACTATTGTTATGTAATGTAGAGAGAGTTAAGATCATCACAAGTTTTACATAAGAAATTATGTATATAAACTTTTTACATTTAGGTTATATTTGGAATTCTTACAAATTATATACATAAGTTTTGTATAAGAAATCGTGTACACAACTTTTGTATAACAAATTATGTATAAAGGTCTTTTTACATATTATGTATACTGCTTTATTGATTTTTTTCTCTTGCCCTTTTTTTCTCCACAAGTTATATGCATCACTTGTTTTATTGAACTTCTTTTATACAACTTACAACCACAAATCATGTATGCAAATTTTACATGTCAAATTATATATTTAACCTTTTCCTTTCATGGCATCTCATGAAGAAAAAAAGCGGGTGGGTACTGAATTAATCCAAGTTGCTACTGCTGTTATGTCCCAAGTTATATTACTATGAGGAAAGCAAGCACTAATTGTGACGCCTCTTCCTAAAAAATTACCCTTTTTTGTCACTCTTTGTTCATTCTTTTTTTTCCAGGTAAGGTGCACTTTTCTTCAACCCTCAAAATCGATACTTTTCTATCTGCAAGGTGTGTTGGAACGTTTAGAAGACTGATGTTTAGTTTCATTTTTTCGACAAGGATCTTATGCATTTTTTTACAATTGCTTTAGATAGTTTCTAAAAGTAGGGGTATTGTCAAGTTTTCTCTGCTATTAGCATTATCATCGTCATTGTAAGTTTCATTCAAATTACCTTCTGGTAAAGCCATCTTTTATTCCCCACCCAAATTTGACAAATTTTTCTCATGGCCTAAATATTTGGCTGGCCAAAAGAGAAACAAAAAAAACATGCCAAGAGATAAAAAGATTAGCATGCCAAAATTGAACAAAAAAAGTTCATGAAAAAAGAGCGAGCCCAGGTCCACTTGTCTTACTGTGACATTATTTAATGTAGCTAATGTGCACGGATAAAAGAGAAATAGAAAAAAATAAACAAGCAAAACTAGAAACTGCAGAGACAGAGCAAGTACAACAACGGGCGTATCAACTACCATATCAGCTTATTGGTTGAGGTGGATTAGAGAGATGAGCAAGCTTGTCGCTCTTGCCGTCTACCAATTGTACAAGCACTCCAAGGCTCACATTTTTTTAGATAAAGGAATAAAAATATTCCTATCTCTCCCATCCACGTGTGAATGAGTATAACTGTCCGATACATAAAAGCTGGTTCTTACACCAAGTTCCACTAAGCAAAAACAAGATTAAACAAGACTACCAAACATGACCGGTCCAATCTAAACCTAATCAATTGAAACCAAACAACTAAGAGGCACAACCCTCAATCCTTCTCTGATGACGCCAACCAAGTTCCCCAAACACTTGTAACATCAATATTTCCAAGCACATGCACCCATCCTTTAATGCTCGTCTTGTGGCTTCCTCTTTAGACAACAGTGACCAATGCCTGGTTTAGTAAGTTTCCCTGAAGAATACCTGCAAGCAAGAATTAGAACATTTTTTTGTTGAACACTGCATCATTTCTATTCAACCACAAAACCTACCAAATTGCTCCTAGCCCCACTATATGATCAGATCCCTCAAACTTGGAGCAAAGCTCCTTCTCCAAGCACCAAACATAGGAGCCGTCCCATTAGGTGGTTGAAGATTAAAAGCAATTAGCAAGGAATTCGACACAGGTTTAGCTAAGCGACAATCAAAAGAAATGTATGTTTATTAGCCAGAGACTTTTGAAGATTGTTATAAAAAGGCATTCCTTATTACGGCTAAACAGACATCTTCGTGTAATAAGGAATGTCTATTTAGCCTTAACAAGTAGAGCACTGGACATTGTAGCTTTGAACATCTTCACCAATAATAGATAATAGACTTTGGTTATATTTTTTTGTCTGGGTGTCCTACTCTCTCTCTTTTATTTGTTCTTTATAAGTTGACTGTGAAATTTTACAAAGACCAGCAATACTTTCATTTTCTATAAAAAAAATAATGTCCGGCAACACCCTATATACACCTTTGGCAAAAAAAAAGACTCTCCATTCCAAATTACTATAATCATTTTGACTTGTTTAAGTATATAGCTTTTGTTATGAACTTAAATATATGCTATTAATATATTTATATAGCAAACGCTAAGAAGTATACATGGAAAAAACAAATAAACTTGTAATTTGGAACCGAGGAATAGAAAAACTGCGTTGCAGTGAATAGACCGGCCGGCCAGCCGGCCGGCACTGTATATGCTACAATGGCAGGTTGTACTGGGCTTGATCTGTTATTATTCGGCTTTGCGTACACAGATGGCGACGCACGACGGATCAGATGTTGATCAGCCTGAGACTGTCGCTCGTCATCGTCAGATCGAGTGTCACGAAAAGCTTGCGCCCCATCATATATATAAGGCGATGGTGGCCTCGGTTCATATACGCCATGTTTGTGCCGATCGGTAGTCTGACTCGAGAGTAACAGCAAACACCTACCGCCGAGGCTCCTCGTCGCTGACGGCGTGTGTGTCGTATATGATCTCGTGTACCGTTAATGGACGAACAAAGCAAGGTCGATGCAGCACAAAAGATCGTACAGAATTCTAAGTACAAATCGATTGGATCCCAAGTTCCCAACTGAAGGACGTAGAGTACTGAACACGCAGCCAAACCAAAAGGCCGGACGCGTTTATGGAAGCCGCCGGGAGCTTTTGCCGAAACAAACCAAACCAAAACCAAACTTCTTTTTCGTTGATTTCAAAAGCCGCCGCCTTTCAAAGTCTCATCAAGTCTCAAGCTAGCAAATGGGGAAAAAATCTATTTACAAAAATTGGCCGCGTGTCACGGCTCGGCTCGGTTCGCCAGGCCCACACGGTTTGGCGCACGCGGGGTAGCCTCGATCTCGTCCTCACCCACTGCCTACACTGCCGCCGCGCCGTCACCGCGGAGCGGCTTGGCGCTGGCGAGAAAGGACGGCGCGTGGTCGCCGGGCATGAAGACGACGACCTTGGGCTCCTGGTCCAGCGGCACGAGCGCGCGTGCCGCCGCCGTTGCCTTCTCGTCGGACGACGATGACGACGCCTTCTTGCGCGCGCAGATGAGCACGAGCAGCGCCACCGCAATGACGCCCATCACGAAGGTGAGGCCCAGGAAGATGTACGGTGTCGGCGTCCTCCATGAGCTTGGCGGGGCCTCGCCTGCGCCGGCCATTAGCTTCACTGAAACACCTGACACACCACTCTCCGGCCTCATCCTCTTATGTGTAGCAGCACAGCGAAGAAACCTCTGTTAGGTTGATTTCCTGAGTCGGGGCCACGATCCACGTCCTGATTGGGGGCGCCCAACCGAATCATGGTTGGTGTTCCCCCGTTGCACAGCGCCATATAAAAGGAGGTGGGGGCCGGGGCACTCCGTACGAGGTTCACCGTGCCGCCACAAACCCCACCGACACAACTCTAATCTAATCTAGAGAGCTGGCGCTGCTAGCGACGGGAAGACTCACCGCCGCCTCTGCACCATGCCCGTTGTCTACACCGCCACCGGGATGCCACTACCTCATCGCCACCTACACAGACACCATGGCGAGTTCCTTCGCCAAGCCCACCGATGGTCTGTGCCTCTACCTCTCTCCCCTTCTCTCTCTCTAGTTCTCTTCTAGTCGATCTAGGTTGTTTTATCCCGAATAAAAGCATGTACACCCACTGATCTACACCTAGTCGATCCACTAAGCCTAACAATGGTATCGATTCGCCTAACCTGGGCGTAGATCTAGGATTTGGGGTAGAAAAGAAGAAGAAATTAGAAGGAGATGAACGGATTTCGATTTGGATTGAAACCCTAACCCTAACCCTAACCCGAGATGAGAAGTAGACAGGGAGCTTACCTGCCCTTGAGCCGTCGCTCGACAACTCCTTATCGGTGTGCGGGCCACCGCCGTCGCGCGGGAAGGCGAGGCCTGAGCCTCCGCTCGTCGCCGAGACGCCGACACGGGGCCGCTCGACAGCAGCGCGCTCTCCCACCGGGGAGCGCGCGCGCCGGCAAGAGGGCCCGTGGCAGCACCGACTCTTCTCCAGCCGTCACGGACTGCCGTCGCACCATCGTCGCTCGCTGCTGTGCGGCGCGAGAGAGAGAAGGGGAGGGAGAGAGTGTGAGTTAGGGTTTCGGGGGAGTCCATGGCGGGGCGCGTCTTGTTCCACCAAAGTGCGCGGATGACCGTAGGATCGAGATCGACGACCGAGAGAGCTCGGGCCAGGGGAAGGACTTTCCCAGCCTAGGCCCAGGTTGTGGCATGG